TCTGAATACTTGAAAAAAAAATATTTGTTTAACAAGTAAAATATCGGTAATGTGTTCTAATTTGCAATTGACTTGACTAACAACAATGTGAACCTGTATTGGAAAAATCAATCCAGATTTTAACTGGATCAGTTATCATACTTGTATCTGAAGTACATATACAAATGTTGTACCACGATTTCAATATTTTCCATTGTGGCCTCATTTTTTTAAATAATTTAGTCACTAAAAAAAATCATTTGCAAATTATTTAAAAAAAAATATATATACGTTATGTTAAGTAGCGAAAAATTCTCAGCGAAGGTAAGGAAAATACAATTTATTTTAGTAGTAAAAGAGTGACGAATTGTTAAATGGTTTGTAAAATAAGATTTGCAAATTGTGATTGTTATACTCTGTTGGATTTCTTTTTTATATAAAGATACTTAAACTCAAATTAGCAAAAAAAAGTTTTAAATTTATAAGAGATAGGTAATTTTATACTAGAAGGCAAAATAAGTTGGATAAAATGCAAAAATACAAAGAAGAATTCACGCTTAATAATTATCTGATATATATTTATTTATTTATAATATTTGTAAATAAGAAATTAGGGAGTATATGTACCTGTGATATCTGTGATTGTTTTAAGTTTGTATTATATAGAAATACATAGCAGAAAATATAATTACAATTTTTTTTTAAACAATTTTAACATTTTAGCAGATAAGCATTTTATTTGGTAAATAAAAAATTATAATGTTTCTGTTTTATCGCTTAATATTTATATATTAGAGAAATTTATATAAGGGACAATATTGAAATAAAAATAATAGGACAAAGGACCCTGTAGTTCAGTTCCTTATTCATATTATTATTGACTTGTTCAAAAATATAAATTCAAGAACTTAGTCTAATCACAAAAAGATTTCCAATTATTTCTATCACGCGTTATAGCTCTTAGTACACTGAAAGATTTGCCCGAGTCTCTGTTAATTGTCATTCTCCATTTTGGTTATGGAGAAATCTTTACTCTCTTATGTTGGCAAAATTATGGTAATTTCGTTATCTGTGGTGTACGGTTACGGTATGTTGGATCTTAGATTTGCATATCTGCTTGCTGGGTTGTTGTTGTTGGTTATTCTTAGGCCCGCCAGTGAGGGATTTGTGTATCTATCGACCCTTTGGAATTAAGTTAGTTGCTTTTCTCTAATATGGGTTTTTATGGATTTTATGTTGGTTTCTTTCTCAATCGACTTGGTTCTTATGAACCAGGGGAAAATTTTGAAATTTTCCGCATTGCTTTATTTTGAATTACTTGTATTTTTTTTGATATTGCTGAATATCACCGCGATTTCTTCTTCCTTACGGATTCCATTCTAGAGTGGGATGTGCGATTTCACTGAAGGGTTTGCGTAGAGTGTGACTCAACCTCCTTATTTTTAGTTAAGTTTAAAATTAATTTTAGTGTTAACTTACAAATACATAAACAAAAAAAAGAAATAAAATCTAATTTACAACCTTTTTTTTTATTCACATAAACATTTTCTGGAAACAGAAACATTTTAAAAAGTGAACTCACAACTACTCTAAAAGTAAAATTATAGTATTCTATAAAAGCTACAGGATTTTAACAGAAACTTGAATAATAAATTTCAAATAACTACCAATTTCTTAAGTATATCTCTTTAGACTATTAAAGCATCTTTATGCATTTTATTTACAACTGGTAGACTATTTTGCATATTGCATATTTTAAGAGAAAAAAAGGTATTTTAAGATACATTTAAAAAAAATAGCACTGTTTCAGCCATTTGTGGACTTCACCTGGTTCCATAAAAGACCTTTTGCAAAGTTCAATCTGATTACCTCAGAAGCTATTTTCTCTATTTGGCATATTACAACCAGAGAGATATATTGATATGGAATATACACGTTTGTATAGTTTCCGCATTCTGCTTTATATATTGTTAAAATTAATGTACCCTCTTTGGTAGTAACGGGCATAACAATATAAGAGTTGAAGAATAAAATAAGAGGGAACTTTTCTTTTACTTTTTAACAACATATGCTCTAGCATTAAAAACAAAATTATTGAAGTAGAAATACTTAATTTAAAAATAAATTTATTTTAAAAAATAAACTTCTTTATAAATTAGTTTTAGCTACACAGTCAGTATATACATATTAATTACCAGAAAAAGTATATTTTCTAAAAAGTTCACAAGGACTCTTACCCACTTATATTAGTTTCGCAGATGTTGCATATTTTTAGTATCTACAGCAATTTACAAAAAGAAATATATACAAGTGTCTAAAAGAGAGTCCCTTTCAAGTATATTTACCCTTTATTTTGTATCTAATTTTCGCAACTATGCATGAAATGAAGTTAACTGGTATGGACTATTTTTAAGTTTGTACAACAGACATATGGTTTACTTTAAAATATCTTTTAAAACTTGTGGTTACCTTTCTTAGTCAGACCGTTACTAATAATTCCGTGTTATTAAAAAACATAACCCACTCCGCAAAAAACATAGAATTTTTATCTGTATTGAGAATAGTTTTGTTAAAAGATGTTTTCATTAAAGTTGGTTTGAAAGCTAACCTTATAAATTGGAAACAGAAACAAGATTGAAACAAATTTCATGTTATAATTATTAAATTTTTTTAAATATTAGTCAGCTTTCTTTTTACAAGTAAATTAAAAAAAAAACAGCTACGAAGTTTTGAGATCTTATTAAATAATATGGTTTTCAAACACAGGCACTTGATGATTAACAACTAAGTGCAGTTCTTACGGCATAGCTATCAGAGAATTGATGGTAGTGTCACCAAATTTGTAGGTGTTATCATTTATAGCTGCATATTTTCAGTATTTACTGTTAATATATTGCAGTGACAATATGTTTCTGTACCGATGCACAGCATTTCTGATTCGTTATATATAATAGCATCAAAATTAGATTGTGAATTCAGACTACACAACTGTATCTCATACAAGTAGTACTGCTTTAATAGTTTTAGCTACAAATGTTAGTGTTTATTATGCAAAAATGTTTTATTGAAGGTACTTTGCAATTTTATTTATTGTAATTTTTATATTATAAAGTCGAACTACAGAGTATTTGCTTATAAATGTGACTTTAAATATTAAAATTGGGTGCTAACATGATTCCAAGTTTTTGGTAGAACGAAACACTGCTAACACAATATAACTTTTGTCATAGTAGCTGACCCTAAGATATATATATAAGATTCTTAGTCCTTCGAAAAACTTCAAATTATCTTTTCTTAACAATCACTAATAACTGGAATAGGAATAAACTGTTTATGAATAAACAGACAGAAGTCGCACAACAGTTATTACTTCTTGACTTAGACAAAAGCCAGGCAATCACAAAAAATTTCATAAGAACTCTTATTTAAAAAAGGTGACATCATAGCTCCTCAGATAAAACCTAATCTTGTTCACATGACAAAGCAGGTAATGCTAATATAATAGATAAGCTGTCAGTAATCTGTGCTCCATATTACTCAGGCGGAGTACTTTATTGTAATTATTAGAATGAACCTACTCTCTAACTTGACGGTCATCTGAAGTACTTCACTAGATTTCTTTTAGTTGTTATACAATTTTTTATAACTTGTAGTTCTTGTTGCCAGAGATTGAAACTGATGTAGATTAATTATTCACCTTTATATCAAACCAATTGCTACAAAAAAAAATCTGCATTTTTAAATACCAATATTATAACGATTTATCTATAATAAATATGGTGTCTCTATTATTATCTATTGTTATATTCTATATCTATATTGTATATATATGTTATTATCTATCTATCTATATAATCTATATATTATCTATATATGTCTATATTAAAGATATTAACTGATCAAATATGAATATATTTTAAATATAGTATTACATATATTGTATCGTTTGTGTTGTCATCTATATAATCTATATATTATCTATATATGTCTATATTAAAGATATTCACTGATCAAATATGAATATATTTTATATATAGTATAACATTTATTGTGTCGTTTGTGTTGTCGCCTTTGTTGTATCACGAATATACTGAATATTATATTCGTAACTATATACTTTTTGAAAGTATTTTCGTTCCCTTGTCAGAGTATTGATTAAAGTTTTCAATTATGAAGAATCGTACCTCATTAAAACTTCATTAGTTATAATATCGCTTTTGCGTTATCATAGACTTCCTGGCATGATGGGTAGAGTTTAATCATACTGATTTTTGAAGCTATGTATAAATAGCATTATCAATAAAATATGGCGTTCACCGAGTAAATCTTACTATTCGGGTAAGAATGCCCGAAATTAAGATTCTTCAACATCAATGTTAAACTCTCACTTATATATAGCAAAAAAAGCTGAAATAGAGAAGTCAGCAATTCCCAACGCATTATTGACCGAAGTCTTCCAATAATATATTAGTATTCTTGACAAAGATAATTTCAAAAAACAAATTATGGGTTACAAGTAGGCAAACATTAATTAGCGAATATATAAAGACCTAAGCTCTCTTCTGTTGTCTCATATCTTTCTAAGCGCATGTTCTGTACTTATGAATTGTTTGTATGACCAAATGGTATGAGTATAGATATACAAATAATTAACTGATATAAGCAATGGTTTTGACTAATCAAATAAATATCTCACAGTACAAGTATGTATGAGTATAATGTTGATTCAAAAAAAAACACAATATCAATTAGATTATGTTGCACTTCCGTTTGATGGCATATGCAATCCAGCTTATTTATTGCAACCGACATTTTAGTTACTTTATATATCCGTTGATTGCTAACAAAGTTGTTTTAAATTCTTAATGCAACTGTTTTAATGGCACAGAACATAAACATAAAAACAAA